AGATTTTTTTATATAAATTTCAATAATGACTGAAATAGAATTTCAAAATATAGCTACTTTATATCTATTGTAATAAAATTATAATGTTTATTATATTTAAAAATATCATTAAATAAAGATTTTAATAATAAACAAAAGTTAAAACATTTGCTAAAATGTCCATATTATAGTGATTTTTTAGATTTGCGATTTGATAAATCAATTTTCTTTCAGCAAAAATCTAATGTTAATTTTACATATAATTTTTATAAAAGTGACTTTTTGGCTTATATCTGTGAATATTTTAGAAAAGATAACTTATAGTAAATTTGGCAAAAAGTTAATAAATACAAACATTATTCAAAAATTAAAAGGAAGAATACAGTATTATTGAAGTTCTCTAACTAATTGTGTAATCTATCTAAAATTCTATAAAAAATGTGTAATAACTCCTAAAAAATTAATATATTAAAAAAAAATTCTATATATTTAAGGAGTTTAGGCGTTAAATAATAAAAAATGAAATTATTTACATAAAAAAATGTCATTTTTTTTGAAATATAAAATCTACGGATCATCTAACTTCTAAATTATACATGTGATCAACATTAGTATTGAACTTAAATTTTGGAAATTTTTAATGGATGTTATTACTTGATTTTAGAAAATATTAGCGGTCGGATACTTATGACCGCTACTGTACTTGCTTCACTTCAAGCAATAAATTCAAATTCGCGATCGTAGCATAGAAGCTTTATCATGTACTCGCGCTTGTATTTAGTAAAACGGTCACGACACGTGATCATTAATAATTTTCCAGACACGTGAATGTGAGAACAAAAGTGACCGTGGTGCGTCTATTTTTAGCGCAATACGATTTCTTTCCTCCTTCAATCAAAATGTTCAAAATGGCGGTATACAAACAAAGAACTTGTAGAATGGGACTTAATCATTTAAGAAATTTAGCAACTATTAGACCTGTTAGACGTTTTTTTGATCCTAAAAATGACGTAGCCTTCAAAAAGATTTTTGGTGTGGAACAAAACAAGCCACTTTTATTAAGTTTTTTAAATTCGATATTAAGACGAGAGGGTGATAATATGATTGAAGAAGTTGAATTATTACCTCAGGAGCTATCTCCTCAATACGAAGATTCTAAAAAATCTATTTTGGATGTTTCTTGCCAGGACAAAAAAGGACGTAAATACATTGTTGAAATGCAAAACAAAAGACTCAGCTCATTCATCCAAAGATTAGAATATTATGCCTCACGTACTTATTCTGACCAACTCTTTGAAGGTGCAGATTATTTAGAACTTAAGCCAGTAATTCTACTTGCTATCGCAAATCATAATATTTTTCCTAAAAAGATTCAATGTATTAGTTATCATCGCAATCGTGAAGAGAAATCAAATATATGTTTTTTACCAAATCTTTCGTATGTATTTGTTGAACTTCCAAAATTCAGTAAATGCAGTGAACAACTCGAAACTCCTGAGGACTATTGGATACATTTATTAAAGGAAGCCTCTGATGAAAATGAACCTCCAAAAGAAGCGCCTATTGAGATTCAAGAAGCTTATAGAGTTCTTGAAAGACATCGTTGGAGCTCGGCGGAAATTACAAGCTATGAAAAGACCATGATGGCAATTTTAGATGATGAAGATGCAATTAGAACTGCTAAAAACGAAGGGAAGGAGGAAGGGAGGGAGGAAACGAAAGAAGAAATTGCATGTAAGCTTTCAAAAAAAGGTTATTCTCCCCAAGATATTTCAGATGTTACAGGTTTATCAGCTTCAAAAGTTGAGGAGTTAAAAAATCAATAATATATTTTGATTTAATGAGAACCCGATGAATATTTTATTCACATACAAAATGATTAATTAGATTCTTACTTGTATTCACATCATGAAACAGTGATTTTTTACAAATTTTATTATGTATTAGTTGCTTTGACAGCGTTTTACTTCATTAAAGAAAGCATTAGTGAATTGGGAATGAGACGTGTATAGGACAGTTTTCGTTATATAAATCGAGTTCTTATGATAAAAAATGCGCAGTACTATATCGGCAACTGAAAATAGAGGTTGTACAACGTAAGATCCGCATATATATTCGCATTATTTTTTCGACTTGATTTGCATTTGAGGACCCCCATAGCAAAAAGGTGGCTTCAGGTCGATCACGGGATTTTTAAGATTTTGTGATAATTATATACCTATTGATCTAACCTTTTGAAATTATCATTTTTCCGTATATAATATAATAGTAAAAGGCGTAAATTTAACCTTTTTTTTTGCCTTTCATTATAAAAACTTTCGCAATTTTCTTTTATCATATAAATAAATAATATGGAATATGGTATTTATTTTAATAATGACAATGAAAATGAAACTGTTTTAGTGGCTTTAGAAGAACTGGAAAATACTTATTTTATTGAAAATTCAAGTTCTGAAAGTGAAAAAAATTCAATAAATAGTGATGAAAATACATCCAATAATGAAAATTTTAACATATTAAGTAATTTTGAATTTGTGGATAATCCTAATAATTATATCGATGATGAAGCTTATAATGATTTGAAATTAAAAGTTGAAAAAGTATTTAAAAATGGAAAGTGTCCATGTCAGTCTAATTGTTTTGAGAAAATTGGCTTTGAATGGTTTCTTGAACGTTAGATGGAATTTGAAAGTTTAGATAAAAAAATGCTGGATATGTTATTAAAGGACAGCTTATAGCTTTTCAGAGAAATGAAAATACAAAAAAAGTTTTTGCCAATAATAGAAAATGCTTACGTTTCAATTATAAATATAATAATGATCTTCTAATCTGTCATAACACATATTTAGCTCTCGTTAGAATTAGTCATAAATATTTAGATATGAAGGAACATTTACAGGAACAAGGTCTTAAAGAACGTATACATGGTAATACTGGTAAAGCTCCTAAAAATATGAATTGTATTGAGGTGAATTATAGTATAACATGTGAAATATATGTGTTTTTAAATAATTACGCTAATATACATAGTATACTTTCACCTGGACAAAACTTTAACAAAATTTCTAAGCAAGTTGTATTTTTACCAACAAGTTATAGTTATGTTTTAGTGTATCGTGATTATGTAAAAGTTTATAAAAATAATTATAAAGATGAAGTATATGTTATAGCTGAATTATCTTTCACTAATATTTGACAATCTTTAATCCTGTCACTTCAATTTATGTTTCTAAAATCTGACTTATGTGAAACCTGTAAAATGATGAAATTAGACATTCGGTATGCTATAGAATAAGAAAAAAAATTAGAAGTTACAGAAAATTATTTATCTCACCTTAATCATGTAAAACAAGAACGTGATTACTATAATGCTAATATTAAGAATGCAATTAAAGATGATAAGCGTAATCTAAATAAATTAGAACTCAAATATCATTTAAAACTTTTAAAGGAAGTGCTCACATTACATATGATTGGGCTTAAAATGTATTAATTTCTTACTCATCACAACAAATAGAATCTTTTTTTTTAAAAGTTCTCGAAAGGTACATTTGTTTGAAGTTTATAATACTGGTAACTTTTCGCACACAGAATAAGACTAATTATGTAATTGATGAGAGTGAATTGCCAGATGATGGTAAACAAAGAAAAGGTGTAAATTGTATATTAAGTCTGGTTTAGTATGCAATTTAAAAGTATAACTGTGAAGAGAAAAAGTTGGTTGTTATATGTGATAATTATATAAGACAAAACAAAAATAACTATTCTTTATTTTTTTATTTATGATTGATTGATCGTGGTTTATATGATGAGGTTGAGTTAAATTTCATGATACCTGACCATACCAAGTTTATTTGTGATAGCTGTTTTGGTTTGATTAAAGTTTTTTATCAGAAAAGTAAAATATATACTTTAAATGATATAATCTCAATTATAAATCGTTTTACTACAGTTCATCTTAATGCTTCTCAGCGCTATTTGAATAGAAAAGGTTTTTAGTATTATAATTTTAAAGATTATTTTCAGATGTTTAAAATTACCTAATATCTAAAAGAATCATCATTTCTACTTTACTTCAAAGGATTTCAGGGTTATTTTTTACAAAGATAAACTTGAAGACGATTTTAAAAAATCTACTATTTGCAACTTTTCTTTTAATTTTAATATTACGCCTCCTATAATTAATATTAAATTACTTTTTTTGAAAAGGCAAGAGGAATTACATAAAGAAATTGCATCCTATGTTGATTTGCCTTTTCGTGATATTACTTGTCTGAAATCAAGTGGATCGAAATTAAATTAAACTATAAATATTATAGACAGGTTAAATATTTTACAATTTCTGAAATAAAATAAGCCTACTTTTGTTTATTCTTTTGTTAATAATGTTGCTATTACATTTTTATCATCATTTTTATACTTACAAATATCAAAATCTCAAAAAAAAGGTTTAGAATGAAATAATTTTTTTATTTTTTACAAAATATTACACAAACTTCATTATGCCTATGTATTATAAAGTTCTATAATTTGAATAAAAATAAATATATTTTAAGAATACTAATATTCTCAATTAGTTACTTGCAAAAATTTTTTATAAGTTATAAAGACAACATTTGAAATAAGTGAATTTTTTTGCAATGATCGTCTAAAATCGTCATATGATTTTAATTACGATTTTCTCGAAATCACGTAATTAACCTGAAGCCACTTTTTGCTGTAGAGGTCCCCATTTATTTTTGCATATCATGCCTCTGGTCACACTATTATCATATTTACAAAACAATATTCAGATATGAATATTTTTTCCAGCAATCATTATTTCGTATATGGGATTGGAGATATCTATGTTAATCATGAGATCATTTTTATTGATTTGTAGGAGGATTAACAAATGACAAAATGTAGTGCGTAATTATTGGTGAAAATTGAGTGAATGTTTTCTCTTAAAAAATTTACAAATGCTATAAAAAAACCCATCTATAGTTTTAGTCAGTAAGTTAGCTATTTTTTTTCTGACCATGAGTGATAAGTGGGCAGGTATAGAGAACCAAGAGAGCCCAGTTAATATAAAAGTTCCATTTGATGTGACAAAGATCACTCATGATAATATCAATATAGAGGATATCATAATCACCTCTACTCAAAGTAGTGATATAATCGAGAAGACGATTGGTATGAACAAATCTCAAATTATTACTTTGCGCTAAATTTACTCAGCACAAATAGTCTTATTCATAGAATTTACTATGATCACTTGTAGTTGTCTTTATCACTAAAAGTGTCTTGAAGGGTTTCTCTTAAACGTAATAAAAATAAGAAGTAAGCTAACATGTTTAAATTGGGATTATAAAGGCAGAGAGATTGAAACTCTAATAACTCAAGATCTTTTTAGAAAACGGGCAAACCTATATCCTCAACTGTAGATGTTACTAAGCCAGTGGATTTGGGAAATCAAACTCTCATGAATAATGATGTAACACTAATGGATGAACTAAGATTAATAGACAGAGAGGAACAAAATTCGTTCAAGACTACCAATAAGGTATCAAGCTCTATTCAGATTATTAAAGAAACTTCTAACTAGGTTACTAGCCCTATTAAGGTTGTAAGCACTACACTTAGCAATTCTGAAAATATGGATGACTCGATTTCAAAAGACTCTAATAGACAAATCTAATGCTTTATATGTGACAAAAGCTCTGAAGACATCACCATAGATTTCCAGAAAGATACTATCTTTTTATCCTGTTATCATGCTGTGCATTTAAATTGTATTAACGATCTATGCAAAAGGTATCCTACCTGTGCTTCAACTGATGATTTAGAAATGATTCCAGTAGAATAGACTTTGAGTACTGTCCAGAAACGTTCTAGTGATTTACTCAGAAAATTGTCAAGTAAGAAGCAGAAGACATCTAATAAGAAAGGCATCCTTTTTATGCTAAAAAAACTTATTGAAGAGCTATTAATTGATAATTTCAATAATGAAAATTTGAAAAAATCGACCAAAGGCGTGTCAGATGCTTTACTAAACTCTGGTAATTTTTTTATCTATCCAGTATGATAGACCAAGCTGAAGAAAAAATAAAGATGCAACACAAATGTTATCAATCGATATTTTGACTTTGGAGAGGCTTTACACTTGCTATATAAGGAATTAAAACTCAGTTATAGTAAGTATGGCTGAAGCTCTCATTAAAGATGAAGTTAAGAAATAAATCTCTATAATAGAGCTTTCTGATAAAGCTTTACAAAAGAGGATGAAAAGGGCTGAGAAGATCTATAAGCTTTTTAATGATATTAGTAAATCGAAAATAGCATAAATTAGAACTTTTCTCGCTAAATTTATATTAAATTTATCTGATAATAATGTTTATCATGTAATAGCTGATGTCTTGAGAGCAAATCAATAATTCGTTTACTGTGTCATATTACTATATCTGGGCATCTGTATCCAGATTTTTCATTTTTGCATAAATAAATAAAAGTACTAGTTTGACCTTTTTTAACTACATCTGCGAGAGATAACTTATTCTATTAGAAAAAAAGGATGCTCGCAAATTTATAATATATAATATTTTTTCCAAAATATGATTGGCTGATCATCTCATAATTTAGCCAGGCCAGAAGCGTTCTTTAAACAAGATGCTGTGTATAGAAACTCACCAGCTCTTAGAACTCTCCTAAAACTATCGAAGAACTGGCAGGAATCTAAGGTGATGTATGTGATATAATATATGTTATACTACAAACTGATTTAGCTAAATGCTATGCATATATATGTAAATATAAAATTAGCTTAACCTTGAGATATGTCTTTTATAAATCCTAATATGCTTGTAATCGAACGAAAAAAAAATGAATCTAATATTTTATTATAATATACTTGCTATAAATCACTATAAGTTTTTAAAATAGCTATAATTCGCTAAAACACTAAGATCAGTTATAAATATAGTTAAAACTAACTATTCTGATTTAAATCCTGTAATAATGCAAGCGTTGAATAATCTGCAATATAGGTATAGTGGTAAAACATCAGAAATGTAGTGTTCTCATATTTGTTATACATTTAAGAAATTTCTTAAATATAACCCAAAATACTTCTTTAAGAATGAATTTATTCAAATGATTGAAAAAGTATATAAAGATGAGAAATTTAAAGCTGGGAGGCACTCATATCATATTTATTGTACTGTATGCGACCCCTTAGTAATTATCTGTGAAAATATTATCGAATATGATAATGATTATCTAAAAAAATATATTACTAAAACTACTAAAAGACATATTAGATATTTTATACAGAAAAAAAGAGTATTATTAGAACTAAATGATAATGAGATTGAAAAGATTTATCAAACATGTGATTTTATATTCAGTACAGTCAACTCTTGTTATAACGAACTCTATGTCCTAGACCTCAACTTCACTATAAGGCTATAGTGAAGATTTTAAGAGATTTGATTGGCCAATTCGCTATAACAAGAGTATTTTTATTATATTTGTTCAAAAAATTCGTTATAACAAGAGTTCGCTATAACAAGAGTTGACTGTAAATGCTGAACTAATTTTAGTTATGCAAATGAATATGAAAATAGAAAAAGGTATATCAATCATTTAATTGATAATACAAAAGTTATCTAATAGGCTTGGAAAGCTTTTAAGTTGAGATCTGATACATAAGCAAAATGAGTTTGAAATATGGTGAGAAATGATAGTACTCCTAACAAGAAGAAGTTTCTAGGTATAACTTCTTGCAAAATAAGAGTTTTTGATGATCGATATATAGACTATATATAGGAATTAATTATGGAGATAGAATTCAAGCTAAAGATATGCCTACATATTATTAGAATCTTTCTATATTGTATGATCATTATTTTTTATAAAGCTGAACAGAAAAAAGAGAGAACAGTTATGGGAATAATTAAATAATGTAGTATACATAGTTGCTTTTATAGAATTACATCAGCAAGGCTATAGAATTGTTAAATATTCAGGATGAACCTATATGTTAAAGTGGCTATCAAATTCTGAATATTATCATATTAATACCTAAACAATAGCAATAAAAACTTTATTAGAAGTTCAGAATATGCACGATATTAAGCGTAAATTAGTAAGCAAACATTATCAATATAATTTACTAGATATTGACTATTATAAAACTGGAAATATTAGTATCAATAGAGAGTATACTACTATAGATTTCTCAGATTCGAACAATAATTGTGAGTATGTACAATAAATTTTTCAGACTATAGATTCTTTATTAAAATAGTATGTTACATATTCATATTTACTGTATGTATAATTATTTATTTTTTTGCGAAATGAATAACCCTGCGAAGCATCTCAAGGCCAATGCATGTAGGTATGTGTGACAGCTATTAAAACACTAAAGCATAAATTAACACATTTTTAATTCTCGTTAAAGTATATATGATGTAATAGGTAATACATCACCTAAATCAGCTGTAATACTATATGATTGCTTATGCTACTAATTAATTTTCACACATAAGAAATTGATTCCCAAAATGTTTCCCTATCTATCTGAATAGCATTTATTTATGAGTTTATTTTTTCTAGAGCATTGTGTTACTACAGGCTATTCCTACTAGATTCTGACCAGAGTATAATTATATAATGTTACTAGGCCTTTATTATTAAGCGGTTAAGCAAGTGAAATAAAGAAAAAAGTTTATATACATACCTTTCCTAACACCTTTCTAAATATCAAGATCTTTAATGCATATTCTATATGCTCTTATTCTCGAACACAAAATTTTGGTATAAGTGCCTTACATATTTTTCCTATATCTTTTCCAAAATATGAATGAGAGTTAGAAAAGACATGAATGAGATTTATAAGGTAAACAAAAAGGCAGTATGACAAAAAGGTATTAGAATTTACTGTACATTATTTTTTTACTTCACCTAACAAGCTTTTTACTAACATATAACTTCTTATTATATTAAAATATGAAAGAGTTTCTTTTAACTAGAGAACCCTTGATATTGTTAGAATCTCTATAGCATTATTTGTATGAGTAGAGAAATGTGAATGAACAGACGTTCTCGAAAAGGAGGTGGAGAATTTTGAGAATATTTTAAAAAAAGTCTTAGAATGAGTCCCCTCAGAAAATGTTGAGCGAAGAAAGAAACTTCAAAGTTTTGGTATTGAAAAAATTAGCTAAACGGGTAAGGTGATAAATTATTTTTATAATGAATATATGAATATGATAATATGCTTTTTTTAGGTTTTTTTAGTATAGTATTATTACTAGCGAAGGGCTGATGTCTGTTGTAATATTATTACTTCCTGCATAGTAGTAATTAGTTTTATACTATATATTAACATATATGATAGCTACATATCAAACATTTTGCCAGCACTTGAGACTTATGAAAATAGAAACCTAATCTGATCTCGTAATATAACATTAAATTATTTATCAAACGAGTCTTGAGAAACTAATATTAGATACTTTTTTAGGTTGTGATAGCATTCAAAGATCTTTATTCACTTTCAGAAATGGAAGTATTAGTAATCAATACTGAAGTCTGATATGAAGATGCAAATACAAATTTACGATCTTTGAAGCATAATATTAAACAATATAAAAGTGAGAGCACTAGTTATGAGAAAATTATGTAGGAGAAAATAGAAATGGAACTTGAGAAAATAAATGTAGAGAATCTTGGATTCAATTATCTGATTTGTTTAGGTGTTCTAGATATTAAGTTAGAACTCTTTACAAATATACCTGGGTAAGTTTCTGATATTTTTAAGGAACCATTTTGAAAATATAAGTTAGAATAGAATCATGATATAATGAAAGCCTGTAAAGAATTTATCCAAAACAAAGAATCAAAAATTAATATAGATGAGATTTTGGGTAATATTAATTATGGAGAATGGTTGGACAAGCCTGAAGAATTGTAAGATCTAACAAAATAGATGTTAGAATTAATGTAAGTAACTGACAAGCAATTCTTATGAAATCTATTTATACAATTTTTTACTTAACTTATTAACTGATAAATAATTATAGGCTCAAGATTTGAAAATCACCAAAATACGAAGCATATATAAAGAAGGAAAAATCGATAAATGAAGGATCATATATTTGTAAGGTGCTAGCATCATTATTAAATATAGTGATAAATGATTGACTAAGAAACATAATAGCATGAGATATATGGTAGACTTAGTTCAAAAGGTTGCATTATAACACTATTATATTTTTTTGATATAATTAATATTTTCTAAATTAAGGGGTGAAAAAGGGAGT